TCACAGTCCGCAGCTTTGCATATGAGGACACACTGAAATTTATTCCAGATTTATTACATGTGGAGCAGTAAATCACCAGAGTTCATGAGGAACTACACATACTTTCTGCTGTCCTTGGTCCAAGGTGGAAAGTGTCAGGTCACGTTCAATAAACACGGAAGCAGCAATCACTTCAACTGTCAGCTACCTCCTTCAGGTTTAGGATCAGAAGAAAGAAAACATTTTCGTGTTATACCAAGTCTGTTCACTGACATGACAACTCGGAATTAGTAGTGTTTGCCTTAAACGTCTACACAGGTGCTTTAGCCTTGTTGTTGAAGTAATACACTGGCCTGAATCAGCTTCAGCTTACTAATGGTACTAATGAAAAGCATTGGCACTAATGAAAATCAGTAGCACATTATGTCAGCACATAGAAGTACCTACATACTGCCCCATGCTCTGGGCTCGTGGAAGTGATCCCATATTCAAGTAAACAGAATTTAAATAGCCATGCATTAGGAGCCATGCAGTAAAGAAGGAAAAGTCATGACCTTGGACCAAGTAGTCCTAATGGCAGTAATCATGAGGTTCCAAGACCTGAGCTGCCTACACAAAAATTTGTTACAAAAAAAAAAAAATTATGGAAGTCTTTGATCAACTCAGTCCTTGCTTCCAAAGATCACATCAGATTTCCCCATGTAAGATTCCCTTAAGGATTCTAGGAAACATTCCCTTAGAAAAGATCTGGAATTATTAACTGGTGAAAGGGCAATGACTTAGTAGTTGAAAGGAGTGCTGATTTCTCAATATTATCACTACCCATGTTATTGTGATGCAAATAGCTTATACCAAGCATTATGAGTTCTGAGAAGAGAATTATCTTTGTCCAGTAAATACATGAAGTTCCTATTAGGGGCCAAAGTACATCAACTTGTCTGAAAGGGTGGGGACATCATGGATCATAGGAGCAAGTATCACCATCTAATTTGAATGAATTATGGTATATCTGGACTTGGTTTTTTTTGCTGATTGAGAGAGATCTGCTACAGCATATTCACTGGACCATTGTCTAAGGTACACAGTGGGGTCTTAAATGCTTTCAGGATGCTGCAGCTCTGTTGGCATTTCTCCTAAGCACAGAATCTTTACTAGCTAGCTATCTGTGTGCTGGCACAGGACCTCACACACAGGCCAGTTCCATTCTTAGGTTTCTTCTGGTTCTTTCTCAGGTAACTTTTAGTTTACCACTGGCTCTTCCACAGTTGTCAGTAGCTTCGATACACTCATCCTTTGGCATCACATTTCCAGAGAGGCAAGTTTCCTACCAAGGAAGGTAAATGACTTACAGGTGATCATCATGGTGGGTCTTTGAAATAGGGTCAGCCTTGTAACTGATTTTTATAAGTCATATAGTAGTAAGAATAATGCCCTAGAGACTTACACAAGACAAAACATTATTTCTTTCTGCAAGACGCACTAGATCAGCTAGTAAAATTAGGAAAGATGGACGAGTTTCAAGCACATCCCACATGGAAACAATGAGCACATAGGTTTTCATCTCAGGAGAAATTTATGTCTAAAATGGCATGAGCCGGCAGTGTGCACTCACAGCCCAGAGAGCCAACCTGGGCTGCACCAGAAGGAGCATGACCAGCAGGTCAAAGGAGGTGATCTTGCCCCTCTGCTCAGCTCTTGTGAGACCTTACCTGCACTACTGCATCCAGATGTGGGACCCCCAACACAAGAGGGATGTGGAGCTGTTGGAACAAGTCCAGAGAAGGGCCACGAGGATGATCAGGGGACTGGACCACCTCCCGTATGAAGATAGGATGTGAAAGTTGGGGTTGTTCAGCCTGGAGAAGAGAAGGCTGCATGGAGACCTCATAGCAGCCTTCCAGTATCTGAAGGGGGCCTGTAAAGATGTGGGGAGGAACTCTTTGTTAGGGACTATAGTGATAGGACAAGGGGTAAGGGGTTAAAACTTAACCAGGGCAAGTTCAGGTTAGACATAAGGAAGAAGTTCTTTACTGTAAGGGTGGTGAGGCACTGGAAGAGGTTGCCCAAAGAAGTGGTAAATGCACCATCCCTGGCAGTGCTTGTGTGACATGGTCTAGTATGAGGAATCCCTGCCCATGGCAGGGGGGTTGGAACTTGGTGATCTTAAGGTCCTTTCCAATCCTAAACATTCTATGATTCTATCTGCTGGTTTACAGGAACGATGGAGTTTCACATAGAACAGTAATATTACCCTTTTTTTTTGGGGGGGGGGGGGGGGAATTTACAGGAAACTTGCAAAATAACACAGCGATTAAGTTCAGAAAAGCTTTTCAGACAAGTGCTTTTGTAATAAATCTGAGTTTTACCATTGACTCCACAAAGCAGAACTGAATTAAGTGGTGTTGATCTCTATCCTAATGATGTAACATGGAGTTTTGATGTTTGGGGGTTTGCAAAGGGCAGCACCAGTGCAGTAATTTTCTTTATACCTGTTAAGCCCTCTTCAGCAGAGGCAGTTGTCATTTATAAATTCTTGTGACCTCTCCTGAGTGGAAAAGGAGACAGACTGTTCTTCCAAGAGGTACCTAGCACTACAAGTGTGTGAGCTAGCTGAGATCTGAGACTCTGTGATGGTTTTTGTCATGTTCTGGCTCCAAAACCCTTGTTTTCTTTACTTTTCAATTACTTCTCAGTGCAGGGCACAGTGTTAGTTCATCTCACAGGAATTTGTTTACTATTTTCCACTATTTCAAGCTTCTTTCTTGATTAGTTTTCAACTCAGAAATTACCTTTTTCCATACAGACACATTTTTTCCCCTCCAGTTCTGATTAGATACTTCTTATTTTTCTCCACTTTTTTGCCTTATGCCAATAATGCAAGTAGCATTATTACTCAATGAAGAACACTGGTTGGTCTACAGCTATATTTTTCACTATGGATGAAGGTCTTCTGAGGTTAAGAGGGTGTCTTCTTTTCTGGATGCTGACCAGTAATTCATCGCTGGAGTAAAAGCAGTGAAAATAAGCCAGGCATTTTAAAGCACAGTTTTGATGTGGTTTGTACCTTATTTTTCACGATCTTGGATCTGTGGGAATGTAGTATTAGCTCATAATCTGGTTTTATTTCCTCCTTTTTTCCTCTTTCCATCTTATTTTCTCTCATTTTTTCCCCTGACTTTCTATCTTAGTTTCTTCCCACCACCACCTTCATCTTATTTGTATGCACCATGGGCTACAGGCAGGAGAGGGAATTTCATTATTTGGAGAAGCTCTGACAAAGCAGAGTGGATGGTTTAAATGGACAGGAAAAACAACACATTTAGTGTGGAAGATGTATTTCGTTCCACACTTCTACTGTATTCTTTGCAAACACCTTCAAACTGAATCTTATTTCAAGCCTGCTAAACAAATGTACCAAACTGACAGTATTCGCTGTCATGCCTCTCTCCCTCTTTGTTAGTGGTGGTTATATCAAAGCTAAAATGGGGGTTATATTTCCCTTTTTCCAGTCATCAGGAACTTCACCTGACTGCCACGATTTTTCAAATATGATGGCCAGTGGCTTAGCAACTTCATTTGCCAGCTCCTTCAGGACCCACAGATGGATTTCATCAGGACCCATGGACTTGTGCACGTTCAGATTTTTAAGATGGTCTCGAACCAGATCTTCTCCTACAGTGGGCCCAAGGTCTTCATTCTCACAGTCCCTGCATCTGCCTTCCAAGACTTGGGTGGTGTGGTCAGAGCCTTTGCCAATGAAGACCGAGGCAAAGAAGTCATTCAGAACCTCAGCCTTCTCCAAATCCAGGATAGCCAGTTCTCCCGAGAGCTTCCTGAGGGGGCCTACATTCTCCCTAGTCTGTTTTTTATTTGCTATGTACTTGTAGAATCCCTTCCTGTTATCTTTAAAGGAATAATGAAGACATTTTCATTTCAGAATAAGAAGTCACCGTAATCTGCAAGACCTTTTCTTGGGAGCCCTTTTAATGCTTAAGATCAAACTCTCAGAGGTTGTATATGGCTAAGGAAAGCAAGAAAGAATTCAAGAGCCAGGTCTGCTGTCTGTGCAAACAGAATGCTCCGTACCTTCTGGAGGAGCCCTGCTACACATCTTCATCGCTGTGCCATGATGATGATTTATCATCACACTAGTGGGACCATGACTGAGTAGGGAAGTAGAACCTTGCCCCACATGACTAGCACAGCTCAAGTTTAAAGGTAACATGAACCCTAGCAGCTAACAGGAAAGAATCTGCCGGTATGTTGCACTGTAACAGCTGGAAGACATTACATTAAAATTACATTTGGCTCTTACTCAAAGCCTGTCTTGTTTAAGGTCTTAGCCCTTCTCATTTAGTAGTAAAACTTTTAAAGTCATATTACAGTTTTAAATAGAGCACATATTATGTCACATCATAACACGTAAATCTCCACTTCCACTTGGGAAGACAGAAATTTAAAAACTGTCTCATAGCATGCAAACACTTCAGATTTATTTAACATTTTATACTTTCCTTGGTGGTACTAGTTTTCTACTTTCTAAATGCACTCTACCTTCTAAACAGACAAATGCAGCTAAACTAAATATTCACAGAAAAGCAAACTGGGAAGGTTCTGAGGGGTAATTTTTCCTGTCCTAGGGATGCGAATTGAATAGTGCATCCCAAATGGACAAGAAAGATTCTTTTCCAAAAGTTTGGGGATTTTTTAATAAAATTAGTTAGAATAAGAGATGTGCCATTTTAGGACAGGTTGTTATACACAACCAAATGTGCCTATAACAAACCAACTCTGAACTGTATCTATATCTGTATATACAGGTTGTATATATGCCTGTTTATAAACAAGGGAATAGAAATAATTTATTCAAGAACTAAATATAAACATTAGTTCCTGCATGACTGCCTTCATAGGATGCATAGAAGTATGACCAGAGCTAGAGCAGCTGTCCTGCACAGTTTCTGCTGGAATGGAGTTCGAGCTGACCTTTACTTCAGGCCCTGCACAGCTAAGCAGCTGTGTGTCAAAGCCTATGCTTCATACAGTCATCTTCCTAAGGTATATCCGAGACAGAGGATGGAACAAAAACTGTGATGTTCTGGAAGAAGAAGATCCACTGTAGTCTGATGCCATGGCAGGCACAGATGAAACAGAGGATGCAAAGCTAATTCAAGGCAGCAGGAAAGGGAAAACACTCCTCTCAGTGGTAGAAGGACTGGAGAACAGTTTGTCTACTTTTCTCTTGGATGGAACTGGAAATGTCCAGCACTCTTCAGCACTTAAGGATTAAGACTGTTTGCTTTTGCAGTGTAGCTGAGGCAACATTTGATTTAAACTAACCCATCAGTCGCTTCTGCTTCTGTAGCTTTAACGTCTGGTTTCTTAGCACATCTCTTATTCCTTCAGATTTACTGTCTTGCACTCAGAATAACTAAGCTACACTGTGATAAATGGCTGGGATTTTTACATTTTGTGCAGCAAGGCATTAATTCGGTTTACACCTACTTTCATTTCCTTGGGCTGCCATTTATTTAAATGAAGTTCTGCATCTTATACATGAAACACATTGATCAGTGGTATGCTGGCTTAAGTTCTACTTTATTAGACTTAGGTGGAGCTGATGAAATCATGTGGTTATATTGAACTAAGCTCAAATTAGAGTTTAGTTCTGACCTTCGATATACTCAGAGTTGCTGCTGCCGACAATGAGAGCCAAGCATATGCAGCCAAGGCTGAGTGTTTGGCCTTTGGTCAGAATACGTATTAGGTTTGGCTTTTCTCTACATGTAGAAAATACGTCAGAAACATAGTTCATTTTAAATTTGATTTTCTTTCCTTTTGTTCATCTGAAGTGAGTTATCTGTTCCCATCATCCGACCCCAAGTGAAAATCACAAAGCTAGCTTCTGATTTTGCAAACTGTAGTTCTCCAAACTGCCAGAACACTTGCATCAATGATGAGGACACGTCACCTTACCCTGTTGACACAAAGATATGCTTTGCAGCACAGCCCAGGGGTGACAAAGGTTACCTTGCCTGTCTGCTTCACAAGCAGAAGTATTACATCGGTTCTTACTGGAATTCCCCCTAGACATAAAAAATCATGTTTTAGCTGGTAACTAGGTATGTTTATACAGGAACTGTTAAAATAATTTATTTTAATAACATATTTAAACCTACAATCTTGCACAATGAGAAAAAGCTGAAAACAGCCAAAAATAATATTTGGTTGAAAGGCCTCAACAGAACTGGCCAACTACTTTTAGCACTTATTTTAGTATCATTCCAACAGAGTGCACAGAATGTTGAAGGTGAGGCAGAGTTTCCTCATTCCAGTGCCAGTCAAAGACATGGCAAGAAGCTTCCTGCACTGGGAGCTTACACTGTATGAAGACAAAAACAGGAAGAGTTTTTAGGTAAAGGAAATATTACTACACAGTTTCTGAGGCAAAAACCTTAGGCAAAAAAGGAACAATTATTTGCTCAAAGCTACCAGAGGTTGTAGTGTTCTGAGGAACTGTGCTCACTGCTCCTGGACAAGGCAACTGAGAATTTTTCTGCTCCAATTTGCTTAGGGTAATATTTAACATTGCACATGGCAGAATACGAATGCACATAATAACAAATCAAAGTAGTTCATATCAGCAGGTGGTTTATATGTACATATAGAGTGTAGGTGTCTCCCATCATGCAAGCGAAAAAAGCTGACCAGATGGATAACCTGGATCAAACTTTTAGGTACTGGGACAGAAACAGGGAAGAGAGGAATCAACTTTACTGGCAAAAAGAGATTATGAGGATTTAGATGAAGTCCTAAGACAGCCTTGCTCACCTGACCACAGCTACTGCTGGGGTGAAGGCAGCACAGAATAGGTCTATTTAAAATATTCTTATGCTTCTGACAGAGACCATGTTATGTTGATAGAATAGGTATGCATTTCTGAAGCCATTTTCTGCAGTTTACTATGAATATTTAGGGCTGTTTTACTAAATTTGGTAGTGTGTTTCTGACGTCAAATAGTCCTTTCCTGCAGCAACCTGGGAATCAGCTTTTGGAATAGGCTGAATTAAAAAAAAAGTAAAAAGTGAAAATTGAATTTGAAAGAATGTTGATGCCTGTATCTAAGTATTCAGGTATGTATGTTTAAGGCTTACATGAATATAAAGTAGAAAGAAAGCATTGTAGGGCAGTATCATTTAAGGAGGTATACACAGAACAATAATTTCCTTTCAAAATTCTTAAAAATGTAGTTAATTAGTTAATTAGTTAGTTAGATAGATAAGTAATTAATTTTTGGAGTATTTCATGTACACAGGCCCTACCAAATTGATGTCTGCATAGCTTCAGGCAAGGCTCTCATTTTATTTTGGTGGGATCATTTTCCTGATTTTCCTCCGAAGGCTTTTAAAATAGTTCTCCTTTATAAAATCTGCTGGTTTAAGTTTATGTAAGAAAAAGTTAAAAATGGAAAGACAAAATTGCTATCTAAATCTAATCCTTCTACTCAAAGTTCTCTTCTACTACCATTGTTCTCCCAAAACCTTGTCCTTAAGATGTTCACAAGTGGTCACTGATTTTTTTTCAAGTGTGAACTCATTGGAGGAATGTAGTCTTTAAAGTCATAATAAAAGGCTGATAGAACAACGTAAAATACCAGTTTCAAATGAAAGCTTGATGGTAAGGTTGAAAGAGATCCATAGCCATGCTGACTGTTGAGAGGCTGATGACACAAGCACTTTTACTAAAGCAATGTGAGGAAACACCACCTTTATCAGGACAGACTGTATGAAAAGCTGATCTAAGTCTCCTTTGCCTGACTGCCACAGTCTTCTCTTTAATGTGTTTTGAATTTTAAAAGAATAAGAAAGCCTGTTCTGTGTCAAGAAATGGAGGAATACCTGAATAAGTGAAAATTCCTGAAACAAAGGTGGCTCTCTCAGAGTTAACACACTTAGCAGTGTGGAAAAAGTATTAGAAAAGAATATCACACAAAATTTTGTCAAAATGCTGGGTAAGAAATGTGCATTTATGAATAGCTTGCTATTCACTTTTTGCTGGGTTTTATTTTTTTTGTTTTTACTATCTTTTGCTCCTTTTAAAAATAATCATCTTGATATTTCTGTTGAGTCAATTATTTCACATTTGTTTGATGTGTCAGAATACTCTGAAACATTAAATTACATAAATTGTTCTCATGCCAGAGAGACAAGACAAATGCTAATGTACGCTTAGACCTCTTATTCCTGGTATGCTCTTCTAACGTAGAATATAAAGGCTGATTCTGTTTCACCTGCTGTACAAGCATTCGAAAGTTCACCTCTGAAATAAACAGAAACCTTTCTAAGTATTCTGGCCCACACAAATGCCAACCTATTTCCACGTGTTTGAAAGACAAAGTCCAGCGTGTTTCTCTTGTGATACTCAGTTGCACGTTTTAAAAGCAAAGACTTATAAATGAAAACTCAAAATACTAGCAAAAAGTAAAAATGCCAGCTGGTTTTTGGAAATGTTGCTGAATTTCTTTTAGTTGACAATTCCATGTAAATTCAACTTAGAAACATTGAAATCACTTTTTTCAAAAAGACATGATACCAAAAATTCATGCCTACTTCAGTTTTTATCTCTTGCCTTGAAAAGGCAAAGTTTCTGGTGACATAAACAGAAAACAGGGTCTTATTATGTAACAAGGTCTATTTCTTCAACTTTTTCTTTTTCTGATATAGATATTTTAAACATAAGAAGAGCCAACATTTTTGACTTTGTCCTTCTTCCACTGAGCTGTTGTGGGATGAAAGAAAACACCTGACAGAAGCTAAAAAATTCTTGTCAGATGTTGTCTGATGAGGACGGTAGAATTATCTACCTCGATTTCAGGGGGCAGTGTTGGACTTTGTACCAATAAGCACAGAGAAAGAACTCAAAAAGAGAACAACCTTCCTTCCTTGCCTAGCTTTCTGAAACTCAGTACTCTTTCAACAAAAGGCCCTTTAGATTTGCAGATATTTGGTATTGGTATTTAGGAACAGGTGCTCAATTTCACTTTCGCTCCTTCCAGCCAAAGCTACAGTTCAGCAGGCTTTCACCCACACACAGAGGGAAGAGTTGTCAATCAACAGTTAAATAGCAACATGAATAGGGCCTTTGTAGATATTTCTGTTCCGTCCTCTACAGCACACAAGCCAAAACAAAACATCTTTGACAGTGTGTGTGAAAACAAACCTGAAATGCTTCAACAGCCTTTCACAGCTAGAAAGCTGACCATAAAAACTCATTAAAATTGAATGCTTTTTGTCAGACGGAGGAAAGCTTGTGTTCTTAGGTTTGACCATCAGGCAGTCCAAGAGTACAGATGTGTGCCTTAGAAAAGCAGTTCTTATCTGTGTGAGCTGGTTGGTTGCATTTTTATTCACATTCATGAAGTGTCTGCAGTTGTCATTGTATTTATCTTGAGCAAGTTTCCCTTTTAAAGGCATTAGCAAGACACTGAGCATTTTCCAGACCTTCAGTTAGATCTGATATATTGTAGGTTCTGCCAAATAAATCCCCAAGCTGAGTGATTTCCTTACCTGGAAGAATCTGGGTTTGTACTGTTTCCTTTTTTAAATGCTGATTGCACTCAGTGCCACAGGCTCAGCCTGATTCTTTGGTAGCACCAACAGAAAGCAGTAGGTAAGTCATAATTCAATAAAGTCTTTTTCCATGTAATGTCCCAATTCAATTAAGTCAGGTAAGCATATCCCTGATGTTAAATACAGGGGTGATTTGAACTATTCATAGGTTGGAAGAGAGGAAAAAATAATAGCTGAACTGCTGCCCAGCTTTGGAGATGTTTTGCTTCTCTTCCATGAGTGTCTCCACTGAGGCTGTTACTCCTGCAGTAAAAAAAGTATTTTTTATAGAAAGTAAAGATTTTCTGACTCTGAACTACAGAGAGCAGTGATGGAGGCAGGGAAAGAGAAGCAGGTTTTTTTTTAAGAGCCAGTAGGAAAAGAAGAGCCTCACATACACGAAGAAAATACTTTTCATACATACAACTTTATAATTATCTGTATAGTATAGTCTCAAGAACGTATTTGCAGAAAACATTGCAGGTGATAACTAACTGAAGAGAAGTGGGAGAGAAGTGGAGCAGTTATCTTGAGTTGCACAATCACACATGCAAAATTGACTATTCAGACTTGCTTGGATTAAAGGATACACTGGCTGAAGCTGCCAATTTATCTGCTTTTATTGTAACTCCTCTTGGATTTTAAATCCCACCAAACATAGCAGGAGAATTGCTAACACCTCATCTGACATCTAGAAGAATTAAGATCAGCGCCTCTGCTGTCAGTCTACTCAAAGATGGCTTGTAGTCCAAATTCTCCCACGAAATTTACACCGAAGACTTTGTGTCCTAGGCCCTGTGTTTGTGGGAAAAGTTGATTTTTGGGGGATAAACTTCTTTGTGCTTATATACAACAATTTCGGGTGGGCTCTGGGTTGTTTTTTTTTTTTTTGTCATTTGGCATCTTTTGTATACCAGTTAATCCCCTCTGGAAGGGCATAAATCTGTTCTAGAATTGACAGGTTTTCAGAAAAATGTTTTTCAACAGTTACCTAAAGTTAGATCAACAGTTCCCCTTCAGACAGTCATCCATTGCTACGCTATTCTGCACAGATTTACAAATGAATTATCCTATGTCTTTTATCTGTAGGTCCTCTAGAGTCAGTTCAGCTGACTGTAACCTTCCACTTAGGTTTTAAAATTCAAGCAGCCCCAGTAAAATTCCAGTTTATGTGCACTCAACAACATTCCCTTTATAGCAGTCCTGTTGCCTGCCTCCAGTTGTACTTGGTAGGAAGGTCTGCAATTGTTTGGTCACTAGGAAAAGAAAGAACTTCTCTGAAATGCCAAGACCTAAAAGCACTGGAAATGTAGGAAATGGATGGAACCCCGGTATCTTTGAAAAATAGAGACTTGGGAAGACATCTAAATAAGCAAAGGTGCCAAAGAGGGATCTCCGTCCAAAATAGAAAGAGATTCTTCCAGATAGATTCTTTTTCAGCATATCAATCTTCATTTAGAAATAGAATATGGAAATTCAAGATACAAATGTGAATCTTTAGGTGGAGAACTAGCCGCAGCTTCTGCTGAGGGGAATACCACTAGCTAGAACACCAGCTTGGATAAACCTCCGTAAAATTATGAGCTATAGCTCGTGTTCTTAATTTAAAGCAGATCAACACAAGATTTCTCAAATAGGAGGAAACAAATGTAAACTTCTGAGCCAGAAATAATTCCTAAATACTGCCTGAGCTGAGAGCATATGCATGTGTATAAATGGAGGGATATATACAGAAAAATCTAGCACCCAAAAGGAATCTAAAGTGTAGGTGTTTGGCTCACTTTCTGTGGAGCTGTGTGAGATGGAACTGCTTTTTCCTTCCAGCCAGTCCTTGCTACTGTAGTAAAACTGGAGGTTTGGAATAAAGAGCAGAAAATAGCTGGTTGGATTTTGTTATTTGTCCTGGCCTAGTATCCTTACTATAGTCTTTAAAATCTATCCTTGAGGTTTGAATTTGCAGTTGGGGCTTATAGCAAAATCCATCCCTAGATCTTCCATCTGGGATGTGTAGTTATTTTGTCCACTAAAGTCTATGAAGTCACAGTGACCTAAATCATCTGAGCCCTAACCCTGCCTATGGCTGGAAGCCCTAGCTCTTGGTGTTTCCTTTGCATGCTACGCAGTAGAAGATGACAAAACATTAGAGAGAAGTGGCATTTCTGTTTTGAACCAAAGACCATTTCTCTTATTTTGCTTTGGGATTTTTGGTTGGTTGCTGTTGTTGCTGGGGGGGGGGGGGGGTGGGGTGTGTGTGTTTATTTGTGTTTTTTTCATTTGCTAGTTTATTTATTATTCAACATCTACCAAAGGTGATACTCCTGATGGAAATCTAGTGGGTGGTAACTGAGTATCAGAAGACCATGTATATATTGACGAGTAGGGTAACACAGTAGGAGTGGACCTGTGGAGTAAAACAGGACTGGGTATTCTATTACATATTGAGTTTAGTAGGTTTTACTTCAGACTGGTTCTGGTCTGACCTGTGAATGGAAAACTCATTAGTGGTCAGACCAGTCCAGGGGCACATCTTCTAGACTAGTGTTATGTGCGGGTAAAATCCAGATAACATGCTTTAAGACCTCTCTGCAGTGTGGTATGTGGGAAAAATCAGGAAGTTTGCTTCTAAGTTGCATGGTTGGTCTCACCTAAGATGCAAAGTAAAATCCTAGTTTATCATCCTGTCCTGAAGACAGATCATTGGTTGTACATCCTGCAGTAAGTGGCGAGCCTGGGTATGGCATTGTGAGTTCTTCCCTTGTTAAAAGTCTTCCTATTAGATTAGAGGTAAGCTTGCTTGCAAAAGGATTATTTCTGAAGTAAAACCTATCTGGTGTATAGCATATAACTACAGCATTGTTTACACTCTTCCAAGTGCCAGAGAACAGCTGTTTTTTGTTTTTCAAGTGTAGTGAAAAGGAGAGAGATGCACAAGGAAAACTCAAACAGGGGATGGTAATGGCTCAGATTTTGTGCTCCCTTCTTCAGGCAAGGTGTTTGACTCAAGGAAATTGAAACTGGACCTTGGCAAGCTCCCTGACCCAAATACCAAAGTGATTTCAACAAGCAAAGATCTGACCCATAGATTTTTACCTGGAGAGGAAGTTACCGAGATAAAAGCCTCATTACTGAAGTTTTAAAAATCTTGAGTTCCACACACTTTTAATTTTGGTGTGCCCAAATGGCCAGCACCATGTCATTCTTCACAAAGTAATAACACACAAAGTAAAATCTCTCCCTAAGTCAGAGGACAGACAATAAGAGATTGATTTGGAATCATTAAAGCAATTAATCAGTATGCTTCCTGAAATAAGTCTGAAACCACTGCTAGCACCAATATCGCAGCTGGTGAGACCACTTTCCGGAGGGTGTCTGGAGGTGGCCCTGACAGCTGCTCTGAACTGCCATGTTGCACATTCCACTGTTTAAACAGTAATTTATTTTGCAATCCCTGCATCATCAGTTCTGAGGTGTTTGTCCTTAATGTTTAATGTTTAAAGGGGTCAATATTTAAAGAGATCTGTACCAGCAAATAAAACCCCTAGGTTGCTTTAAAGTTAATATTTCACACACTCTAACAGTAATATAGAACAAGAACTGCCACTGACAAAGTGTCACTGCCTCTGTTAAGGCAAGAAATTATGGTACCAAGAGAACCACCAGTGAGAAAGACTATTTAAAACTTCTGACGCAGTTTCTGAGTATCTTAGTAAAGTTCATCAGAGCTTAAAGGAAAAACTGTTATTTGTTAATCCTATTCAAGACATGCAGGGGAACAAAACAGTGTGAATAGTACCAAACAGGGTATATAGGATTTGCCAATGTGGAAAAACGAACGTCCAGGCTGCTCTGACTCCTTCTCCAAACCAGCCTGGGAAAAGTCAGGCATGTGTATTAGCAAACTGTGGGATACACTATTGCTCTCAGTAAAGCCTGTAAAGCTGCCACAGTATGTTCCTGCAGGATTACTGCTTTGAAGTAGCACAATCGTGTTTGGCATTGAGGTTCCCAAAGTGATGTTGGAATAACCAAAGGAGTAAATCTGTAGGCCGTGCTGCTCATAGAGAAAGATAATGGCATTAAAAGCTGGTACTTCAGGCACCGAAATCAGTGTACACGACTGCATGGTATTACAATCAAAGAAGAAAAGGGCCAGTGGAATGCTTTCACATGTTGGTGACCTGAGGTTAGCAGACGTTGCCATTGCCAATCTTGCTGCTTCTAAATTGCCCTCTCTACCCAGCTGGGCTTTCTGCAGCAAAGGTCTGCAGCAGTGATGGTAGGAAGGCCAACTTGCCCTCTACCTTCTTCCACACACAGTCCCGAGTGACAGCAGGACTGCTGCAATAAGCAGCAGTCAGGCAGAAGACCTCTGAGCAAATCAGTAATTATCAGGATCTCACAGTCACTTTTGTTCCCTTAACTTAAACTTTTAGAAACAGGGATATTTGATTAATGAAAGGACTTCTGATTTTATACCACACATTAGATATATATATATATAATATTTTCATCTGACTTGGGTAAACACCTGCAAGCACAAGGAAAGTTATTCCACTGAATAGAAAAGCACCCCTCGAACCTAAAATTATTTTGGTTGAAGCATCAAGTTAAGCATCATGATGTATTTGATGGTCAAACACAAATTAAATAAATAAACATTCTTTTGTTTTTACTTTTCCTATTTTTTTAGGAGCTGTGACCATTTGTTTCCAGATGCTCTAACCAGTATCTGATATTTCTGGCAGAGGGGAAGGTGTTAAAAAATCACGTCTCTTAACAGGAAAGTTTGATGTTTCAAGCTGGAAAGAGAACTCATTTCCTGAAAATCACATTCAGTAGTATCTTTGCTTGACAAGAAATATTTTTTGTGTAAATGGAACACAAAATACAGTTTTTCTCAATCACACTTTTAAATAAACGGGGGATGTGGTTTGCTTCCCTCACCTGATCTTTATGAGTTAGATCCTCCATAGTTCCAAAAGGTACGAATAGTTTCTTGCAAGTAGAAAAGAGAAACAGAAACAAGACTTACAAAATATTCTGAATACTCAGGTCTCTGCACTCTCTTTCCCTCTGTCTCCAGACCTAAAAATGCTGTGAAGTGGAGGCAAATTGCCAAGAGCCTCATACCCAGTGCTGAACTGGCATAAAGTCAAAGGTTGCTAGTTGCATTTGGATGCCAGAACATTAGCATGGCTTTCACTACTGGCTCTTACACATCCTTTTTCAAAGTTAGATGATTCACAGTTTTTGCCTCTTCTATAAGCTTTCATTGCTTGCTCTTCCAGGTTTTCCTTGAGTGCTAATCTTGCTGCTGGTAAGAAAGCATCTTGCATATCAAAAGTTCTCCGCTTCAGCAGTAGCTGTTGATGGTGATCCCTCTTCTGCAAGGGGAAGCATATGCATCAAGTGCTACGTGCCCTGGATATGTCTGCAGTGTCAGTTCAGCACAGTTTAAGCCTGCTCTTTGGTCCAGATTTGCCAGTCAGCCACACTGCAGCTCCCAAAGTCCCCCTGAGAGACTACCTCAGCTCAAGTTCTGCAGACGAATTCAGAGGGGGCAGCCTGCCCTTTCCCAGAGCCCCAAAATATGTCCAAACGTACACTCAGAAATGGAACATGTTGAGTGCAACACTATCCTGTCAGTGATATCCCAAGCCTGACCCTTGTTAACACCATATGAAAGACCTCTGCGATTAACCACCACAATTTGAAAAGTCAAAGGCTGCATGAGGAGGGATCTGCCCCATATCCCTGATCTTTACTCCACAACTAATGCCTAACCTCAGAAGGTAACACAATGGAGCAGTAGGTTTTACCCAAAACTTACAAGCATATTTTTGGGAGCCTTTTATTCATCAGGTACTCAGATAGACACCAATACACAACTAGTAAATCACAAGCTTTATTTAAGCTCAGAAATGTTCCCACTGAACTCAGTGGGAGTATTCATGTGTTAAACGCTCCAGGATCAACCACCTGAGGCTATGAGCTCGCAGATCTGCTTAAAGTCCCTTGCTGTTATAAACATGCATTTGCATCGAAGCATCTGATGAAATGGCAGATTGACATCCCTACTGCATTTGGTATTACAGCGCTTTAAACGAAAGCTCTATTCTGCAGGAAGAGACTGTAATCATAGAAAAACTCTGTGTAACATTATTTCTTCCCTACAGTCATAGAATCATTTGGGGTGGAAGGGACCTTAGAGCTCATCCAGTTCCAACCCCCGTCACAGGCAGGGACACCTTCTACTAGACCAGGTTGCTCAAAGCCCCGTTCAACCTGGTCTTGTGTGGATGATTGTGGATGTTCATGGATGTTTGAGTGGCTGGCAGGAAGGAACCAATGCAAGTGAGCAGATGCCTTCTTGCACCAAGGCAGTTAACTCCAGCATAGATGGAAAATAACCGTAGCCTCTCTTCTCCTGTGCAATTCTCAGTATCACAGTGAAAGGAACACACACTATAATTAATCATTTACATATTTATAACCCAGTCCTCTTGACCTTTGTTAGCCAAAACACCTGAGTAAACCAATCTGTATGCTTAAATTTCTTGTAACAGTTGGGAATGTGGCAAATGCTTAAAAAAAAAAAAAAAACAAAACCAAGAATGCTTTTTAAAGCAGGAGGAAGCAGGAATATAAAAATGGTCAGATGGAGTTTAACAATGAAAAAGTGATAACCACTAAAAACAGAAAAGAACCCAGAATGTAAAAAGCTATTTAGCTCTTTTGCTTGTGCAGTTCCACACTTCACTTTTGCAATGATAACAAGCTTTTTGCTATGTGTCTAAGCAACTGTTTCCTCAATTTTTGCCAAAACAAATAGCTGACAAGGCAAAAAATGTTGATCAGTAATTTTGAGATCATAGCTAAATCGTTGCACTGGTTTCAAGTTAATGGTCATAAAAATTTTTACTACCTTTGTAACAATACTTTGGACAGAACAAACTATTTTGACTATTTCCAGCTCTCAGGGTGGCAAGCACATCCTGAAGGAATATTTAGAAAATATACGTACCCTTTTTAACAACTACTTTTTTAGCTTCTTCCACCTACCAAAATGGATGAAATATGAAAGAAAACTTTATGCCCTTGAACAAGGACAGGATTCCTTTTCTGATTATGTCTCAGTGAAGCTCCTACAGCTTGCACCTAATGTTTTGTCCCTTGAGTTGAGGCAGTCGGGGATGCTTGATAGTGCATAATGAATATCTAGAAGCCTATTTGTGTCAGACTAGCAAGGGAAGGTTGTATGAAGAAGCAAAGCTATTAGGAGGAATAATGCACCTCTTGCTCTCAGGAACTCAATCATCTGTTTGTGCCAGTGAAGAAATCCCTGCTTACCCTTAACATTGTGCTTTAGAGGCCAAAAGTAAATCAGAATTCACAAGCACCATGGATTCCTTTAGCTCTATCTAATATCTGTAGTGGTTAGGTCAAAGCTTTTAACTGAGTAAATCAATCTACGCTTCTGTTTTTGTGTCAAATATGCTTGATTGTGCACACCCTGCTGATAAAAAAACTGTGCTTAATCAGCATAAAAGCATGTTTTGTGTGCATGAGCACAGCGTGTCATTGTAAACAGATTGGATGGTTTTAGCTGGGTGAAATGGCTGTTGTTCAGATCACCAGCACTTTGGAAGGTTGTTTTTGTGTGGACACATTGGGTACACATGAAGCACTAGAAGGCAATGCCTGTTGGATGATGTTGTATCCATATAGCTGCAGAGGGATTCAGAAAATTAATTGTCATGGAGGTTGTAAATGGGAATAGAAGGATGGTTGTTATTTGACTCTGAGAAGTGTATGATACAAACAATGGACTTGGGAGCTTGCTCAACAAAAAAAAGGGTATTACCACACGTTCCTAAGTACAGACACAATGTTGATAAGTCCCTCCCTGAAACTTTCATTACAGTAATTTATTATTGAAGACAAATAGCAGTTAGCAAACCAAACAAAAACAGCCAGTCCCAACCCCCAACATTTTAAATAACAAAGATTATTTTTCTCTTCCTAAAATGTTTTTTTCCTGTTCTCTGTTGTGGACTCTCTATTTCCTTTGTTCTTCATGCCCAGGACTCACAAAATAAAGAGGATTTTAATTTCTGAAGTGAAATAATGTAGACATTAAGCTAATTTACAAACAAACTTTACAAACAAGCTTGGTGCTCTAGGACACAAGGGTTGTGTTCTTCACTTACAGGAAAGAAGGAAAAACTCGTTTTACATAAGTATTACTTGTGTATGTCCTTAAATAGAAGGTAAGCAATCTAATCTAAAGCACTACAAAACCCTTTTCTTTGACTTTAATTGGCTGGTAGAGGTGCAACTACAGTCTAGGTGAGCCTTTGAGAAGCAGGTAAAGTCAAAGTTTGAGTTAAGACTCTTAACCAACCTGAGTCTCAGTGCTGTGCTCCAATGGGCCCTGCAATGCGGATCTGCTGCTTTGATATTGCAGCAAATACCTTAAGCTGTCATGCCTCAAGTTGCCTACTGGGTATTTTGGGAGAACATCCGGCATAAGTGTGTCAATAGGAATTTTGCCACTAACTTAATTTATAGCTTGGATTTCACCCACAGTTTGTTGAATCACTGTTTTTTACTGAGTGTTCCAAACTATACTGTACTAGATAACCTTCATACTCTATTTCAGCACTATTGTTTTTACTGAATCAAACATCTCTGTTGATCTGCCCAAATGGGCCTAAAGTAAAAATTGGGGTGGGGGAAGACAAGGTTTTTAAAGTTTGGAAGAAAGCTTTGGATGTCTTCTCTAGGCATGCTATAACAATTGCAAAAATTATATGAACTGGACAGAAGACCATCATTTCAGGAAGATGAGAACTATCACTGGGAGACCTTAGACTTGATGTGCTGAAAGAGTGAAATGATATAGCGAAACAATGGAGGAGTTTCAGGAAGGTAAATCTTAACCTTACATATTCAAATATATCTTCCTTTTAAATGCATTTCTTCACAGAGGAAACGGATTTGCCTTAATGAGTCTTGGGAAAAGTGACTTTTGTGTTTTCCAGTTAAAGTAAATAGTCATCCAGTTTGCTAGTTGTACCAATGGTTTCTGCTGCCCAAAAAGGATGGCAGTTCCTTCTCTCTTTTTGTGGAGGAAAGACAGAGGGAATACATTCTTTAGAAGCATACATATTAGTATGTTATAGCACAAATTAGGAGACAAGCCTATTTCAGGCACACCAGTGGCTTGTAAAATCATTGCTCCAAGCCACTTTTATTAGAAAAGAGAAACTTACGATCCTCCTTTGCCCACACTCTCTGTTGCTAATTGCATCTATTTCCCAATCTTTTATTAGTATTTCATTTTGCAAAGCAAGCATAAACCAGCTCCATTTTGCATTCCCTTTGTTAAGGTGCAAATGATTTAGCAATTGCAACCACGTATGACCTGTTACATAACTGCATATGCTTCCTATTTTAATCAGTGTTCCAAATGACTAATTGTATAAACGTGCAACTTAAAAGCCTACTGATATGAAAACAGGATAAAGAACACCATTTTTGACACGCCACTACCCTCAGGTCGAATATATCATATTCAGTACTGTAGTTCTTGTCTGCAATGACGCTCAACCTAGTTGGCTGGTTCATCTTTGTGCTGAGTTGTAAGATTTCTGCCATACTGTAGAAGTAACACAGAGAAAGAAAAAAAGGAATATATCTATTTTCCTTGCTTGTATTCCTTTGTATTTTCTTGGATAGATGAGATCAGGACTAAAGTGTTTCCTCTGCTCTCTCTCTATGTAACACTGATAAAACATCTTTTTGTAGACAGCCATGCAGGATTTCATTTCCCCTAATATGACTAATATTCTGAACAGGTGAGCACATGTCCTTTGACACACACAAAAATTTAAGATTGGTCAACAACTACTGATAATCTGCAGAGACACAGCAATATGCTTTAAAAGGAAAAGGACATATATTCTGGGAAAAAAAAAAACAGTAATTTTATGAAGGTTCCTTCTCCAATTTGTAAACTTTGTAACTTACTGTTATGAAAAGTATCACTTATAGCCTTAGTTTTATTTTTATCACTTGTCCAAGCCCTAACTCACTTCAAGAATGTAAATAAATACATGACATGCCTACTATTCCAGGAAGGAAAGAGAATATTGGTGCTTTCTCATGTTCTTCCATTTTTCACAACCTCTAGAATACTAAAAGTGTGCAAATACAAAGGGTATTTTGAATGAAAGAAACTACCTATTCTCCCTGCCATCAGAACCACATGTATTGGTGTCCAGACTTGTACATTATTTGTAGCAGTAATGATGATTACTATAATTTTTGCAGATGCAGCCCTACAATTTAAAGTTCTCACTAGTGAGTAATAAATTCAACTCAGAGACAAAAAATCTAACTTAAATGAGCAGAATGTGTACTCTGAACACTTAAATTCCAGAAAAAAAAGTATGAACTCATTGCAACCTCTGTAAAGCCTCATTCTACAAAGTTAATTGATATCAATACCAGTATTTTGCAACATAATCACAGGTGCAATTTTTAGAGTCCTCTGGAATTAAAATGCAGGCTCCTGTGACTTTTAAAAATGGAACAGGTATTCTAACTTAAAACCCTGAATACCCTGAAATACTTTATTTTCTCTGCAGTGTTTCTTCCTATCAGCTTTCTGTTTCATCTGATACAGAAAAAGCCCTTGTCAAAATCCTGTCTGTACTTTGATAAGTTACTAAGTGAATTAAAAGCATATTACAACATTAAGCCAGAATTGGGGGGGGGGGGGGGGGGGGGTGTGTGTGTACTTCTGTTTACAACTTTAACTACTACATACTTTCATACCATATTCAGCTTTCAGTCTTATCTTTGTACTGAAAATGAAACAGTATCTTCAGTTATAAAGAGAAATTGAGAAATAGACAACTGCAGTTTCTAGCACGAAGAAGATCTGGAAGCACTCAAAATGTTAAATAAACATCTTTCCTAGTAGACTGACTTTAGCTCCAGCCTTTCACTCATCTTTTATAGTGCGTTAACATTTCCTTCTCTGCCCATAAGCAAACCTAACTGTTGAAGCAAACCCAACTGTTGAAGCAAACCCTTATGCTCTTGGTCTTGCTTCCCTCCCACAGCCCCTTTAAGGTTCTCCCTTTCCACTTTGAAACGCCTCTATCACACCAGACCAGGTTTGTCAGATTATCTGTTTGACACTTTCTCTAACAAAACAGATTGACTCTTTGCACTGTGATCTCCTGGGAGACAAAGTATGTTGCAAAACTGCCAGCAGAAGTTACTGGAATGATCTTTTGAGGGCAGCTATGTGTATGCACTTAATTTTGCAGACTGGCACAAATATATCATTCCCAGTCTGTGATTAAGTTCCAACCACCATCAAAGCTTTTGATACATAATTCAAAATACAAGCATGGAGATGTTTCATAGTTCTAGTATAAACCCTGATTATCTATTAACTTAGTGATAGCTACTCGTTTTACATCATAGTGATAAGTTCCATAGACTTTACAGTATCCCTTATAAAGACAAACTATAAACAATTAAAGTTTAGGTGTATTATCTAAGCAAATACTTTGAAAATATCTTTTCAAAGGCCAGAGAAGATGCTTACCAGAGAAATTATAGGAGGATGAAACAGAAAGTATGAGTCTGGAATAAAAAACTTAAGAGGAAGAAAGTGAGCAGGTTTTACTGTCCATCAGTGTTACTATTTCTCTGTGCTCAAGATAAAGAACTGCGCCAATGATGATGAATCCATTAATATATGGCATCATCCTTGTTCTTTCTTCCCAAGACATTTTGTCTTTGTTGCGTGTTGGTTGTCTTCATCCCAATGCATTAGTTTTTATGACAAGACCTGCATTACTGTTTTCACCTAGCAGAACAGCAGGACTTGGTAAAGATCACAGCAGATGCTGGTTGCAATATCACCCCTAGTACCAGCTGTTTCTGTATTTCCTCACAGGTGTTTGTCTTCCACATGGCTGACGGCTGAATTCTGTTCAAAAAGCATGATTAAGGCTGCAATAGGTACAAAGCCAAGTTTCCCCTTGGATTCTCCCTCCTGCTGTGCCTCATGTGGCTGGCAGAGTTCTGCCATTGTGGAACAGAGATTGCTGGAAATAAATTCTTCTTAAGCAGACAGGCTTTTGTTCAGTTTTGACTCCAGGCTCCCAGCCCAAAGTCTTGAGCAATCTGCACTGGGAAAGCTCTGTGCATCCGTGGTAAGGCTCTTTTTTAGAGGCTTCTAATCTGAGGAATTTGTGGCAAAGAGAACCATTTTCTGAAAGGCTGCGTTCTGGGCAGATCTTCATTATCAGCCTTGTCCTAGCATATTCTCTGAGATTTCCATCATCTTAGGCTTTGGATTTAGATGCAGATAAGCTCATTTTTAGGTTTCCATACCTGCATTTATGTGAACTAGTTGCAGAACAAATCAAGGAGGCATACAGTACTCTTGTACCTCTTGCCTATTAATTAATTCTTCACATTTTTCTATACAAGTGGGTGAAAGAAATGCTGTGTGCACACATTTTTCTCTTTCTGAAAAAGAAACACAAGATTCAACAGCTTATTTTCTGTCACAGCCACAACTTCATTCATCATGTGAAATCTCAGGTTGCTCTGTGCTCTAAAATAGTCAGCATGTTACTCATCTTCTTGCGAGCGAATAATTTTGTGGGGTTTCCTCCTCCTTTCCTATTTCTCTTGTTATTACTTCCAGATGACAGTGTCTGTAATGTTGTTGTACAACTCTACAAACCGAGGCACTTTTTAGAACCAAGATTTTTTGGACACACTCAGATCAGCATGATGTTTGTGAAACATTTTATGTAACTGTCCAAAGAGCGTCCCTCTCTCATTTTCTTAGTGACAATGGTAGACAACCCTTCAGTCTGTCAGCAGTTAGAAGCCATCATCTCTCACCCAAATTTTGAGCATTTCTAGCCAGTCTTCACCTGCCAGCTATATTTGTTGAATGCTTGGTGAATCATATAAAAATTGTATAAGCCTGAATTCATCTGCAATATGCACTTTACAGACCCTTCACTTCTTTTACAGCTAAAAGGAGAAGAATGATTGTAAAGAGTTGCCATTTTTCTTCATCTGATTGTAAGTCCTAAATGCACATTCATGTGGCTGTATCCTGTTCTACAGAATGGCAAGGCAATTTTACAATTGCTGTGAGCTCCTAGGTAGCAGGTTCTGCTGTTCTTATTTTCAATCACACCTAAGGTGTTTGATTTTTCCCTTAATCTGCTTTTCCTATTCTCATTCCACCTCAAGCAATTCATTTAATTCTCTTTCCTGTGTTATCTACACATGACACTACTACGTGGGGTTTTTTTCCTGGATTTATTTAATGGATGATCTTGTCCTAGATTTCACCTGTGACAAATTGCCATATCCAGGCTTGGACTCCTATTTTTAAACACCTTGACAATATATTGCTTTTCTAGATATGTCCATTTTCTGAAAGCAAGCCTGAAGGTACCGGTAAGTCAAACATCTTAAAAGCAACAGAGCATACAGAACAAATGAGAAAAGCCACAAAACAAAATCCCAGCTGATTCAAAGCATATCTGATTATTTTTCTTTCCAAGATACTAATAACACTGCTGCTGTATTGGCTATATCTAAGATGAAATGTGGAAACTCGCATTGGATTGGAATATTGAAGATACCCAAGATACTGATGTTTGTCTGACACATTTTAATACTCCGTATCTCGTGTTCTTTTATCCAGGATTAAGAGAGATGAGGTTTGAACAAACATACTACACTTGGGTAGTCACATAGTGTACCAGATTGGTATACTTATTCACTCACATGAAATTCTGTATTGCATCCCTCAGGGAAATACTAAGAGTAGCATATTTATTAGAGAGACAGTCATCCTAAAAATTTATTTGTTCAATTGACGGCTGCTTAAATACTTATAATGTATAATAATTTATAATTAATGCTTAAACACTTCTGTCACGCTGTCATGCTGGTTACAGCATGACAGAAGGTAACAGACCAACGTATTCATTTCCCACTTCCTAGCTATATACTGAGCACGAACAGCTAGGATTACTATGAATGGGGAAGAACCATTACAGAAAAGAAAAATACAAAGAATTATTTTTGCATAAAGGTGCTCTTAGCCCTTTAATACCTGTTCATTCCTTATGAAGCCACAATATTTTTTTAAGTGCTTTAACTGAAACAGTTTCTGGAGAAAGAATTATATCTTTTATTAGACTGACTACATACGGTTGTAAAGAGTCAGCTATTTTTATTAGTTGTTGTCATGGTTTAACCCCATTCAGTAACTAAGCCCACACAGCCATTTGCTCACTTCCCCCCACCCTCCCCAGAAGGATGGGGGAGAGAACTGGAAGAGTGTAAGTGAGAAAACTCATGGGTTGAGATAAAGGCAGTTTAAAGGGTAAAGCAAAAGCCGTGCACGCAAGCAAAGCAAAACAAGGAATTCATTCACCACTTCCCATGGGCAGGCAGGTGTTCAGCCATCTCCAGGACAGCACAGCTCCATCACACATAATGGTTACTTGGAAAAACAAACGCCATCAATCCCAATGTCCCACCATTCCTCTTCTTCCCCAGCTTCATATGCTGCTCATGGCACCATATGGTGTGGGATACCCCTTTGGTCAGTTGGGGTCAGCTGTCCTGGCTGTGTCTCCCCTAACACCTTGTGCACCCCCAGCCTGCTTGCTGGTGGGGTGAGGAGCAGAACAGGCCTTGGCTCTGTGTAAGCACTGCTCAGCAGTAACAAAGACATATTATCAACAGTTTCCAGAACAAATCCAAGACATTGTCCCCTACTAGCTACTGTGAGGAGAATTAACTCCACCCTACCCAAAACCAGCCCAAATGTTTCATAGCATAGTGTAAGTACCTTAAATCTGAGTGGATGAAGGTGCACATATGGAAGTGTTTTTCTTCATTAGGTGTTAAGAGTGTTATCACAACTCAGCCACAACTGGGAGAAAAAAACAAACAAAACAAACCCAAACATAAGGTGAGCCAGTGGGAGGAGTGCTGTGGGAAGGATGCCTGGATTCTTCAGATTCTTCACTTAATATTTGTCCAGGGCATATTTCAGGGATCCTACCTTCTTCAGTGCATCCAACCTTCCATTATCTGCCTCTGAGGTTTTTCAGCCCTTCCCCAGGTCTCTCCCCTTCACACAGTCCACTGAAGTCCACGTTCAGCCAGAGAACAAACAGCCTTTCATACATCCTGACCCCCCTAACTCCTAAAGAAATCGATTTATCAAGGGCAGTCCCTCCTGCCTCACCCCAGCACTACATGCTGTGCAACAAGGCTGGTGCAGGTGCCTGTCCCTGGAGAGGACTGGGAGCTGTGAATGTTGATCAGAGACTAACTCCTGCACGCTGCTGAGAGCAGGCCATGTTTGCCACAGATGTCGTTTCCCATGCACCAACTTTTCTTCATTTCTCATGGAACAGCTTTTGCAGCTCCCTGCTCAGGATACAGGGGCTTGTAAGCCTCACTGCTTGAGATCTCAGTATGTTACATATAAGGAGTCCTTGCGCCTAAAGTGACATGTGGCTTTCACTGCCTGACCAATGCATAAGCCTTGGGTGTTGCAATACATTCCATTGAATTACACCTACATTATGCATGGCTGAGACTGTAACTTGTTTTATTTCTTGTTTTTAGCTTTCCAATATCCATTTATCACTGAATTGAGAGAGCAAATCTGAAAGCAAGAAAAGGTGAGAAAAGCCAGGATATACTTTGAACAAAAACTGGGAAGAGCAAAGTTGTGACCAAGAGCTCCCTCTTGTGTGCCACAGGAAGAGCAAAAGGTAGCAAAGAAGGAAAGAGGAAAGAGGAAAGAGGAAAAGGGAAAGGAAAAGGAAAAGGAAAAGGAAAAGGAAAAGGAAAAGGAAAAGGAAAAGGAAAAGGAAAAGGAAAAGGAAAAGGAAAAGGAAAAGGAAAAGGAAAAGGAAGGAAGAAAGAGAGAAGAGGAAGGAGAAGGGGAAAGGGAATGAAAAGGGGAGGGGGAAGGAAAGGGAGAAAGGGAAGGGAGAAGAGGAAGGGGGAAGAGGAAAGGGAAGGGGAAGGGAGGGGAGCAAAGGGGAGGCGAGGGAAGGGAAGGTGAAGGGGAAAAGACCCCACAGAACTGACATTTTGAAACAAATGGTTATCCATTTCAAATTCTTACTTAAAAATATAGTTTTTAATAAAGTTGAAAATCAAAGTACAACGTTTCCATGCATACAGGTGGACAAATCCTTCTTGTCAGTAAAAGCTGGGTGTCTGCAGGAATTCATGTGGGAACATGAACAGACAGTACAGAGGTCAGAACTTTTCTAATAATCTCCCTTCTTGTGATTCCATGAAGGCTAGCTCCTTGTACTGGCAGCAGCTCTCAACCTATTCCTCTGTGAATTTGTAAATGCCGAAATGCAGTAAATGCTTTATTTTGGGAGCAGCTAAATTTGTTTTTCATCTAAAACATTTATTTAAATGCACTGTTAACTTTGGGTGTCCTGTCTGGATGTGTTTTGGAATTTATGTAATCAATTGTCACAAGCACAGAAAGTAGTTCCTTGAATTTTTAGACACAAATAAGCTCATTTCTTCTTCACTGCTGTTTTGAGAACAGAGGTTAGAAAATCACTGAACCTTAAAGGATAAATTCAAGCAGTTTTAAGGTCTGGTGATTTTTTCCTTCACAGCATGACTTTGCACAAATCACACTGAACTGGGATGAAACTGTTAGTTAGTGGTTAGTATACTTGAATGCTCTTCAGGTGTTCTGCAGGTGCCAAAGTTGTTCAGGGCTGCTTCTTCATGTATGAAGGACAATGCAAATTGAGATTAATTTGTCTTATAATGTGACTGGCTTATTTTAATCTATTAAACTGAGCACTGGAACAAAAAGTAAGCAGGAATTAATATCTGGACATCAAGGTCTATTATTTATGTAAAATCTGTCAAAGCAAGCCTAAAGCAAAGACTTTCAAAGCTGAGGTACTTGAAATGGTGAAGCTTGACCATGTTGGGTGAGTCTGAGTAACAAGATGAAGCAATGCATGCTATCCATGTAGGCTTTTTCTCAAGAAAGAACTGTGCTGAAACTGAGTCTTAACCCTAATTAAATAGATTGTCCAGTAGGAAAGAAAAACTCTTCATATGACTTCCTCTAAAATATATGTATTGCATTTATTTTAGGTTTAACATTTAGATATTATTTGTGCAGTAAGACAACAAAGACAAGATGTGAAATTTTATTATTTCACAAACAGGATAGTCACACATGGAGACAGAACAATAGAAACTGGGAAGAATTTGGTAACAGTAACAGCAGCACCAGCAACCTGGAAAACCAGCAACCTAATTTTTTTATTCCTTGTAAAGATTACCAATCATTAACTGGCTAACTCATGAAAAATGATAATGAAATCAACAAGTACAAAGACTCAGATCCTTAGTATTACAAATTAATATAGAGTTTCATATATGATTTGTGGAATTGGACATCACCATGATTGGCATGTTTAGGAAATGAGCAAATCAAGCCAGTTTCAAGCTTTAAAAGAAGTACTGTTGCTCATAAACAGTTCAGGTAGCTAATAGTTCTTAAATCATTATCACTAAATATACAAAACAATTAAGTCCTTAAGAAATATATCCCAGACGAACTGCGAGCACACACCATTGTGGAGCTGATGCTACATAGTCAGGGATGATGGCTGCGCTACTTGGTGGTCTTTAGTCACCAAAGCCAACACGTTTGGGCTTGAGAACTCCTTGGAGGCAGTTTGCCTTCTTTCTTCTTCATTCAGTTGATATTTTACATGCTGTGTCCTTGATTCAAAAGAAAAGGAAGTGATCACATCTACTTTACTTATTTTGGAGATCAGGAAAAGTTCTGTGTTTTGCTTATTCTGGAGGTGCCATCAGACACGTTTCTTGCCTGTTCTGTGGGATTGCCTTGGTTTTATAATGCCTCTTTCCCCTTCCATTTTATTTGGCTGGTTATTTGGTGTCAGATAACCCATTGTCATTTCTCAGGTAAGCTTAATTTTGCCTTTTTAGTGAGGCTTTAAGAAAATAGCTGGAAAGAGTAAACTAGGAAAAAACTTAAATTGCACAGGATCACTTAAGCTGCAATGAAGAATCATGGAGTGAATCTTCCTGAAATGCAGTTCTTGTCACATGAAGGAGAAGGTGATCTGGAACACCCTGCATGGGTATACAAGTCCTACAAGCCTGTAGTCACTGGTTTAAGCAAAATGTCTGAAGCTGCCTCCTCTGGCACAGATCTATAATCTGCTTTTGAGCAACCTCAACTATTAGCCAGAACTTAACTACTATCTGAAATAAACCCAGTGTTTGAATGAAAACAGCAGAGGTCTGAGGGTTAACTGTAAGCGGGTAATGTGGAGTGGTTACTTGGTAAAGCATCTGCCCTCTCACTTTAATCCACACCTGCAAATCTAGCACTGCCTTTAATGGATGAGTTCTGGGTGCCTCTTTCCTGTACAATTTACAGCCCTCAGGTGCCCAGGGTCCTTGTGCAGTGCTGTGAATCAAATTCACAGGCTCCCCAAGCCGACTCAGGCTGGGGAAGCCACATTCCGGTGTGGTGCTGCTTTCGGCACTTCACATGCAGTCAGACAGTTTTCCAGGGGAATCAAATGGGAGGCCAGGCCTACCACTTGACATGTTCATTCTCCTGCCGAGGAGGCTGGAGCCAAGTTTTCTTCCTCCTACTCTGCCTGATTTACCACGGAACTTAAAACTGAATACAGGGATGGAAGTTACTTTTGTTTCCTCTTTGGAATCTGCTCTGCTTTGTAAAGGTAACTGAGTATTTACTGGAGGAGAATTTAAAGCCGACATTCCCGCAGTCAGTACGAGCACGATGATGAGTTTTGATCTCTGGAGCAACGAATCTTTCACGACCTGTGAAGCAGACCCCTTCAGATTCGATCCCACAGCGCAGGGAGCACCGCGGGTACCTCTCGCTTGCGCTCGCCCTACTCCAGC